TAACACCGGGAACAGTTCAAAGTGAGAATAATTACAATACCAATCGACATAAGGGGCGAGGATATACACCTTGAGTAAACAAAACGAAAAATAAGTAGGGCTAAAGTAGGAATCGGGAGAATGATACTATAGCATAGGCGGATTAAGACCATGAGAGTTGGAGTGGTTGGAGAAACTTTCTCTATATACAGAGGTTTGACCAAAGCTTCAGTAATACAGATGAGTGGAATACCTAATGATTTGGGTAAGTTATTTTTTGCCTTAATGAGATAACTTTAGAGGAATAGGTTGTTGTTTAGATAGGATGGCCAATATCGATGAGATGTTCAGTACCACTTGCACCACTTCCACATCTTCGTAACCACACTGAAAATAGTGTTCTTGCGTGCTGATATACAGTTATAGTGTCTTGCACTAATTATTTTATGTACCTCAGTAGAGTGTCAATTATTGCATTGGCTAAATTGAAAATATAATGAATTAACAAAACCGAAATATTTCCCGGCTAGACATTTGTAAAAAATTATATTTGTAAAATCTCAGCGGTTTTGAAATGAGTAACTCCAACGTTTCGTTCGGCAATCTGGTCCGAACTTCTTCAGGGAAATTAATCAAAATTAACATAACAGAGGTTTTATATATAAAAGGCACATCTTTTGTTTTTAAAAACTTTGTCCAATCATGATTCATAAAACAAGTATTAACAAATATAATAAACAAAATTGTATGAGCTGTGATCAAAATTTGACCTCGGACTTACAAATATTGGTCTACCTTTGTTAAACACTTTAAACAGAGTGTGCATGCGTGTGTGTGTAAACAGTTGTAAAACATTTCTTAACGTCTCCATAGGAAGATATAGACAGTCGGGAATTTGACCAAGTATTATTAATTAGTGATACATATCCATTTTTATTTATTAATCAGGATTTCCTATGCATCAGCTAACATCTCGCCTGCATGTCTGTTCAAACTGCTAGTATCTAGAATTTTATGATTAGACGTATTTTCAAAATTATGGTGTTTAGGATTAGAGTTTAGTTTAAGCACCCTGTCGAACTTATTGATTTGTCTTCTTTCTGAATATTGAATATTTGTAAGTCCGAGGTCAAATTTTGAACACAGCTCATACAATTTTGTTTATTATATTTGTTAATACTTGTTTTATGAATCATGATTGGACAAAGTTTTTAAAAACAAAAGATGTGCCTTTTATATATAAAACCTCTGTTATGTTAATTTTGATTAATTTCCCTGAAGAAGTTCGGACCAGATTGCCGAACGAAACGTTGGAGTTACTCATTTCAAAACCGCTGAGATTTTACAAATATAATTTTTTACAAATGTCTACTTCTCACTCGGCGCCCAAATATTTTAGAACTATTCTGTCAAATCTTGACGACAGTTCATTTGAATTCCCGGCTAAATTGGTTACTTGAATATTCTCATAATTTATTCAGAAGAGAAATAATTAGAGCGAAGAATTGTTTTCAATAAATTCTTTCATCCTCAAACTCTACAATTATAAATGCATTAGTTGCAGGATTTCATCATGAGCTGACATTGGTTAGAGAACCATTAGAAAACCTGGGAGTACTGGACAGCTGTTTTGTTCTAGTTTGGGACTCTTCATCAGTACGCGCCCACCGGGGTTCGAACCCAGGACGTTCTGGTTACGAGGCGAGCTCGCATACCATTACGCCATTGGGACCCGATCCAATGGCCAGTTCATGAATTCTAACTTCCACCAATTCACGATATAGCGCAACCGCTAGCCAATGTTTTCGGCGAGTATTTGTCCTCACACCCGACCTGCTGCACCCTACTGGTCACGACTTCCCACTGGAACCCCAGGTAACTACCTACCTGAATAGGGCCAGCCCGGTGGGTGCGTACTGATGAAGAGTCCCAAACGAGGACGAAGTAGCTGTCTAGTACTCCCAGGTTTTCCAATGGTTCTCTAACCAATGTCAGCTCATGATGAAATCCTGTAACCAATCAACCAAGTCCCTACAAACCAATACTTGAAAATCAATGAAATCCTTCATCCTCATCCTCTACAATTATGAATGCACTAATTTTAGCAATAAGCGGTTCGAGCCAAAGGGAATTAGAATTATGTGAGAAAAGGTGTTACACATGTGGTACAAGTAGAAGATGGAAGAATAGTCTGTCTGTCTGTTAGTTTTGATTACCATTTAAAATATGTGAGAACATCAGATAAAATGAAATGAAATAGTTGAATAATGTATACATGTGTATGTGTGTACATACATGATGTGTCAGGGGTTCAGAGGTAGAACGCTCGCCAACCATGCATATAATCCCGACGTCGATCCCTGGATGATGCACTCCTAAACCTCGTCAAGCTGATATAAGGAGGGAAGGTTGGGGGTGGGTGGGTTAGCAACCCCACCCCCCAAATAAACAAAGCCACTGTTACCGAAACTTCAGAGTTCTAGCTTGAAGACCTATGCTCCACTTGGAACGCAAAGGAATAAAAAAAATACATGAATATACTCCATGAAGACACAGGTGTGTGAGAGACAATACGAATACTACAAAGAGATAAATCGACTATTTGCATAGACCAGATATCAGTTCAAGGTTGATGAAACAGTAGGAATGGTGTGGTGTAAACTTAAAAGTAGCACCGGTGGATGGTTATCAGGTAATACTGAAGTTAATGAAGGGGAATGAACAAGATTGTGTAATTATGATAACAAGTTAGAGAGGCATTACGTAAAAACTTAGGGTAGTAGAGAAATAATTAGAAATGTCATAAAGTTGTGAAAAATGGAGGGTTTATTCACCTTATTGTAGGCCAAGGTAAACATAGACATACTCCATCTGCGTACAGAGACTAGGTCTTCTGGTATCGATTACTCCCTCTCTGCTATTGACAGAAGGCGTAACCGAGCTCCCCTAGATAGATTAACAGAAACACGGTAGATAACCGAGAACGTCTTTTCTGGTTTTATTGAGTGTCCAGTAGTATCTACCCAGTGGACTAAGACTGCACTATTTACACATCTGGTTTCCCTTTACTCAACCATTCAGATACGTGTTCGCGTGGTCATAGATGGATAAAGCCCTCTGAGTACGGTCAATGTAACTAGCTGTACATGTGTAGTTGAATTTATAGATATGCACATTAATGAGGCCATCTTTGGTAGTTTATCCTTGACTCATTGTGTGAATACTGTTGAGTACCTCAACAGATATTCTAAAATGTTGATTTAATGAATCAGAGGGTGCATAGATCATATCTTCACTCTCCGACAGATCCTAGAACATAGACACACTTTAAGGTGTCCAACAATTGCCATATTTCTTGACTTGAAGGCGGCCTTCGACTCCGTGGATCGAGAGGTACTATTTCAATGTATGATTGTAAAAAGGGGTGGCAAGAAAGTACATTGCACTAATCAAGGCACTCTACTCAAACTCACATAACCGTGTAAGGGCTTTTGGGGAACTGTCATCTGAATTGATAACAACCAGTGGTGTCCGTCAAGGATGTCCACTTTCCCCATTCCTGTTTAACTTCATCATAGATATGCTAATGGAAGTATCCTTAACTGAACTTAACGACTTAGGAATCGACGTGTTACCAGGGAATAGTCTTATGGACTTAGAATATGCAGATGACATAGTCCTGTTAGGAGAGGATGCTGACAAAATTCAGAGTCTTCTGAACACCTTGAGTAGCAATCTTCGTATGTTTGGCATGCGATTCGCCCCTGTGAAATGTAAGATGCTGCTACAGGACTGGACTACGTCTACCCCTAGCTTAGTGATAGGGAGTGAAGTGATAGAACATGTTGACCACTTCACCTATTTGGGAAGTTGTATCAGCACCAACGGATTGATTGGTGACGAAATCTCAGCACGGATCCAAAAAGCTCGGGCTGCTTTCGCTAACTTACACTGTCTCTGGCGTAGGTGTGACATCCGGCTATCAGCCAAGGGACGTGTGTACTGCTCAGCACTTCGCTCCGTCCTTCTCTATGGCTCTGAAACATGACCAATACGAGTTGAAGACATGAAAAGGTTGACTGTTTTTGATCATAGATGTCTACGAACCTTTCTCACGTTAGGTGGTATAATAAGGTAAGTAATGTTGACGTTAGGCGTAGAGTGTTGGGCAAAGAGGGAAAATCAATCGACGAGGCTATAAAGTTACATCGATTGAGATGGCTAGGTCACATGTTGCGCATGAATAACCATCGCCTCCCCCGACGGACGGGCATTACTAGCTGATATAGGTGCAGGTTGGAAAAGAGTGAGTGGTGGCCAAACAAAAACATGGCCTCATCAATCCATGAAATCATTGACAGTTAAACTGAGTCAGGTAGGGAGGGAGATGCAGACTTCCGGGCTGGGGCCCTCGGGACTCTAAGAATCAATGGCTAGAGACAATAGGCGACATGGCTCAAAATCGTTGTCAATGGCTTATGCAGATGTATTCAGTCTCTGTAATCTTTTATATTCCTTTCTACCATTACTCATTCTGTTTCACTCTTATACTTGTCAAAACTCTATTGATTCTCTTCACTCATTTTCTTGTCTACGTTTGTGTGGTATTTTGAACGTGGCAACTGGAACTGGTGCACTTCAGTGCCAAGTTCTATGTTGAATCCAGCTAGCCAATGAATCAATAGAGAGAATATTCCTTGAGGGTAAACTAGTACTCACTTCCTGAACTAAACCCTATCCATATGATTATGAGCAATAAATTGTGTTTGAACTGTCATCCAGCTAACAACGTTGTATCTTCACCGCGTATATTATATTAAATAAACTTACTTATCGAATATAGAAGTATATTCTATCACAATACATAAATTCTACTCTGATACTTGTGTGTGAAGAAAGTGATATCTGTGAGTGGATTTCAAAATTCTGTCGATATGCCTATTTATAAACATCAATACGAAATAATGACTGTTCACTTATTATTTTGTATTTTCCTCTTTATTTTTAAACCTATTGTTTAGGGTTATTCTGCTCCATTGATTGAGGCGAAAATTCAAGCAGCTTTAGCCAGTAATGAAGCTGATCCACCAAGATTTTATTGTCGACCATGTCCACCTGGCTGCTCAGAGTGTAAAGCGAATAAACTTTGTAGTGCACAATTTGATTACAATCTACTTCGAGCTATTCCATTAGCTTTTCAAAGTTTTTGTATTACAATTTGTCTACTATTTGGTATGGCAATGTTTAAAATTCGTAGAGCACGAGTAAGTCAATGTTTTTTACCCAGCCTTATTTAACTCTCTCTGTTGAAATATATTTAATTTCCCTTTTCGTTCAATCAGATGAATTTTATTTCATTCCTTTGCGTCCTGAGTGGAACATATATGGTTTCTAGTTTCAGAGCTGAAGCTTCATAAACAACGTCTTGAACGACATCAAATTCACAAGAGAAGAGGAATTCGAGGACGAAATCCCATTTTTGGACGTCTAAGTCAAGCGAACAACCACAGGAAAATTAGTAACTCAAGTTTATAGAAAGTCAAGTCACACAGATCAAATACTCAATTACAACAGCAACAATCCAATAACACACAAAAGGATCTGTATGCAATCACTATTCAAAAGAGCCAGAACTCATTGCAGCACTCCCACCTTAAGGAAAACTGAAGAAAAATATCTCATGGACGTCTTTCAAAAGAATAGGTATCCACGGAATTCCATCAAAAGACATATACCCCCAAGCCAACCTATCAAACCAAGAGACCCCAAGGAAAGCACAAAGAAAGTCGCCCTGCCATATATAAAGGATATATCAGAAATCACTGCAAGACTCGTCAAACCTTTAGGAATCGACGTCGCACACAAACAAACAAAATCACTCCACTCAGCTCTGTGTCAACCAAAAGACTCAACAACGAAAGAAGATAAAACCAACATCATCTACAAAATAAATTGTAACAACTGCGAAAAACACTACATTGGCCAAAGTGAACGTCCCCTTAGTCTTCGTATCTATGAACACAAACTAGCCATCAAAAGACATGACATCCACTCCCTCATATTGTTGCATACAGACAACCATGGACATCAATTCGACTGGGACAACGTTCAAATATTAGACTGAGGAAACACCAAGAATGCTAGAGAATTTTTAGAAGCTTGGCATTCCAGTGAATCATCAATCAATAGACATATCGAGATAGACAAAATTTATCAACTGATAAGAAAGAAATCTCACACACACAAAGAGTCAAAGTTCAAGTCAAAGAAACAATGAGTTCCAATAGAAGTAGCCTAGAGGGTGTGAAAACACGCAAACACAACCAATTAAGTGCAAGGTTACCAGGGGAAATGCCTAATAAACTCGCGGAGAAATCTTAAAGCTCACTTCGAATTGAAGTATTTGCTGAAGATGTTGCCCAGTGAAAGCAGTGAAAACTCCTCAAATAAATCATCCAGCTCAGAGAACACAACTACATCAAAATTATTCACCTGCTCTATAAATCTTCTCCATCATATCTACATCTAGTTCTAGAAGAAAGAGTATATTCGTGCACTCAAGTGAACAAATAAACAAGCAACATAGAAATCTTAGACAAGAAGAAGAAGAGATAAGACAAGGAATAGCTCTTTACGGGCACCTAGAAGCTGATCGAGGAGGGAAAGATGGTGAAGCAGAAGCTGAGTATAACCATAGAGATCTGAATAGAGGAGTGAATAAGAGTGCTATGAAGCATAGAAGACTCTTTTAAGACTCACTAACAGTTGAGGTTGAACAGACTGCAGGTAAGAGAGACCTCACACATCAGGCAGAAGAGAATCTAGCTAGATTTGACATACACTGAGGAGGCATTCAGGTTACACCGCACACCAAGTGTGGGGGGCTTCGAGTGGAACCTGAAAGGGAATCTCCGAGTTGGGTGTCCGAGGCTTGACCAGAGATGATCATGTGAAGAGGAAATGAAAGCTTGTGAGCAGTTGTGTAGCCAGCTAAAAGTGATAGCAGGGAATCTAATTGAGAATGGAAATGTGCCTCTGTAGCCCTATGTCCCACCTGGAATGGCAAAAAAGAAAACATCAACATAACATGTGGGATAATTGAACAGTGCTTCATGTCGCAAAATTTCATACCTGCACACCCAATAAGATATGAAAGAAAAGTGAAGTGCGAAATGGAAAATAATTTTGTCAAACATCATAGTGAGGTATAAAAAAGAGAATAAAAGGGTGAAACAAATAAACATATATAAGTAAATTGAATGCTCCTGTCATGATGAAGATGCATCATCTACGTGGCTCTGTCGAATCCTCACGGATATAACAACCTGGAGTTCTTGACCATAGAATATGGCAGACGTTTAGAATTCGAACAGGCATTCCTCACCTTTCTACACACTTCAAACTAACAACTAGTGCATAAAACAGGATTAATATCTTTGATTATCAGCGTATTAATAGTTCTCGGGGATATAGATTCCACCCTAACTGCCTTACTTGTTTCACGCAGCAGTGGATATTTAAAAAAAATTATGTTTCTACCCTTACTGCAGATTATTATTAGATTGTATAACTTACTTTTGCCATATAAATATGAAAAACTTCCGTCAACGGGGTCAATAGATCAAAGAAGGAGCATAATTTGCAGCGGAAGAAACTTATGGAAATATTTATATTTTCAACGATTGTTTTGTAGGGAAAGGTTTGACTTCAAGTTCGATCACAATCTGACAACAGTTAAAGAAACATTGAAAACCATGGTGTATTGGAGTTATATTGAGACGGGCGTTGACCCGTAAACTCTATCAAGTCTGGTGTCAGAACAGGCTTTCACCGATGATACTAGCTAGCGGTGCTGTTATGTATCGCGGATCAGTAAGAGTTAGAATTCATGGGCTATTGGATTCCCTCTCACTGACAGAATGATCAACACACTCACCTCGTAACTTGAAGATTTTGAGTCCGATCCCTGATGGTGTGATCGTTGTGTACTGATGAAGAGTCCCAAACTAGGACGAAATAGTTGTCGAATACTCTGCGGCTTTCCATGTTTCTCTCATTGATATCAGTTCATGATCAGACTTGTAAAGAATGTTCCTTGCTCACTAATTAATGTATTACGATATTGTGCATGCATTTTTCTCGTTTGAATACCTTTATTTTTGCTCTTTTTTTTACAAATATTTTAATTCTTCTAGGTAGTTAAAAGTGCTAATCTTGTGCTCATGGAAATAATGCTTGTAGGAGCGATTCTCTTGTATTCAACAGTGAGTTTAAACATTTTAATTCGACTATTGCTATTATTCAAAATTAGTTAGTGTTAAACAAGCACAGAGTGGCAAATAGATAGTTATAGGTATTATCCAACAACAAAGTTTATATCCAAAGATTCAGTGTTTCAAAGTCAAATAATTGCAACAGCTTTTAGCAACATTTTGGCAAGATATTCCACAAAAACAAGAGCTTCAGGTAACTATGAAAATGTAACGTAGTAATCGAAAAGCGCGTCAAGGTTCAGTGTGAAGTCAGTGCTACTATACGGATGAGAGACTTGCACTGTGCGTCATAAAGAGCATCTCAAACAAACTACAGACCTTCATCAACAGTTGTCTTCGCTCAATACTTAGCTCAAGATCAGATGGCCGGCCAGCCATTAAAGATCAGCAACAGAGATCTCTGGCAATGAGCGAACCAACACAGCAGGAACCGATTGTGAAACAAATAGGCAG